AGATATAAATTTGCTTTTATAGTTCTCCCTATTTTTTTTAAACATGTTTATCAAATTTCAAATGAGGGTCCAGCATTAAGCCTAGATATTTAACTTCTGAAACTTGCTCTATATGTCGATTATGCATCTTGACATCCAGTTTTTCCAGAACTGGCCGTCTGCCCGAGGAAAAACAAATAGACAGTTTTTTTTACATTAAGCGTCAGACATGAATTTTGTAGCCATCTTGCTATAGCCTCCAGGTGCTGTGATAATTGATCTGCCACTGCGTTAACTGATTTACCATATGCATATATACATGTGTCATCCGCATTATTTGAAGACCAGCCCCTTCGCAGGATTCCAGGAGGTCATTTATATATCGACTAGTGAGGATCGGTCCTAACTGTGGGATTCCTGTTTTACATTTTAGAAAAGATGATGTTTTGTTGTTGATAATGACACACTGTTCACGATTTGCAAGATATGATTTAAACCAAGCCAAAGTTTTCTTTCTAACTTTGAGAGTTTGGAAACAAGAACATTATGATTAACCCCCACCAAGTTTCCCTTATCTATGTATGATTTCAACAATTTGCACTCTCTGTAGAGAATTTATGTCTAAACCCAAATTGCAATGGGTGCAGATAATTATTTTTTCTAAATGATTCATTATGTGCATTGCCACAATTTTTTCCAAGACCTTTGAAAAGACAGGCAAGATACTTATTGGTTGGTAATTACCCACCTGCTCAGCCGCACCAGATTTAAGAATAGTTAGTACTCTGACATTTCTGGAAACTGTCCTCTAGACAAAGAAATATTGAGCAAGTGAGTTAGTGGTTCAGCAAATATGTGACAATGCCACTTCATCTCTTTTGTTTAATCCCTATCAAGTAAAAACGACACGTGGGTTCATGTGGAGCTATGTGCAGAACTATAGCTTGATCAATATTATTAACTTCCTGAAGAACATAAACATAACTTTCTTTGTTTAAAAGACAGCTCCACAGGATTCCTTTATTATAGATTTTCCAGAAAACCCCTACTGCACTCGTGATTTTCTGCAGGGAGATAATGGAGGCTTGCTTGCAGTGAGAATTTGTTTACCAGAGAGTCTATAAGAGTGAGACTGTGTATAGGAGTTATTATTATGTTTCTGTGTGGAGAGAGCGATCAGAAGAGAGGAAGGAAGGTGAGACAGATAGAAAAAAAAAGGAATATGGAGGTGTGTGATGTGAAAGGTCAGAAGCTCTGCAGTGTTGTTTGATCCCTTTCTCTTTTTTATCTCTCTCTCTCGCTGTGACGTGGTGTCACAAACTCAAACAGATTTTCAAATGTGGCCTCTGACAAAAGCACGTGCAAACACACACACGTACACGCACACACACACACACACACACACACACACTGAAAAACTCTCTCACCTGTCACCTTTTCCACAGTGCCAGGCAGTGCCTTTGTTGGTACGTGAGATTCAGACTTTCAAGCTTTGCTCGTTTTTGAGATTTCTAGAGCCAGTGTTTTAGCAATTTAAAGCACTCTGTTAGCATCTGGTCTCTTAAAGTTTGGATCGTCCCTTATTATACTAATCCAGGATCCAGTATTTCAGAGCAGCTTGTTAGCAGAGTTATCCTTGTTGTTGTGATAGTTCAAGCTGCATTATGGGAGCTGTGATGGCTGCTCTGTCTGTGGAGGCCAGGAGGCGCCTCTCTCGGCCCAGCTGCCTCTCTCACTGCGGCCACAGTGCGGCCAGGTACCATCGCTCAGGTAGGCGCTCATATGGTTTCACCTCCGCATCATCACATTCATTAATTTTTTTTTCTACTCACTCCATCACTCTCTCACTTTGTCTCTCATTTTTTGCTCATTATAATCACAGCGGATCATTGTTTTCTTGGAGTTTGGTCACGTATTAGTTTGCTCAACACATCCCACAAATCACTTTAAAGTCAAACAGTTCAGTTCTGTAAAATACTTTCCTCTATAGTAGACATTAGAGTTGAAATTTGAGTGGGTTGTGCAACTAACTACAAAAATTAAACACACGACTTCTAATATTCCAGAAAGAATGGTAATACATTTACTGTAGTACAATGTTGATGTATTGTACTTTGAGTATTTAAAGTGTGTATGACTTTATTTCTCTACATTTCAGATGTTGAATTTATTTCATAATTATTTGCTAAGCTACTAGTTATGTTTCAGATTAAGAATTTAAGTAAAGTATTGATACATTTGTTGTAGATTTAACTAAATTTAACTAAAATAATATACATAGTTAACCCCTTCAGTGGATCAGTCATGAAGAACTCATGTTGGTTTATCTGAGCTTTGGAAAAACCAATTCTATTGCAGACTCCAAAGATTTCATGCTGGATTAAATGATGCATAAAATGATGCACAAGACATCATGCGTATTTCCATTTAAGAGAATGGTGTAGCCATAAAGAAATATAACTTTGGGTTGAATAGTTCACTCAGAGTCAACACCGTATGTACTTAATGAAGAGTTGTAACAAGCTGATGCAGAATATGTGTGATACTGTGAGACAGTGTGGAATAAGGTGATTTTATCACTTAAAGGGAAAAGCTGTTTAATTTAGCTCCACGTCCACTAGCTGCAACATTAAAAGGCTTCTTACACCACAATACAACAAAAAAACTGACAGGGGGCATTTTGCTCCATGATGAGTTATTAATTCTTTGCATTTACGTTTTTATTCGTTTTAAAGAAGACACTGGAATATGACAGCAAATAAATCTAAATCTAAAACACGTCAGCGTCACTGCAGTTGAACAATTACAAAACATGAAATTAATGAAGTTATATATCTCCCAAACCACCTTTTAGAATTGACTCATGAGATGCTTTCTCCAGCTATGACTTTACCAATTCTTTTAAATTAGGAGCTTTATAATATAAAAATAATTAGTTAACAATGTTTGAGGTTGTAATCGAGTACTTTTACGTTTGATACTGTAAGTATATGTTGCTACTACTTTCGAATGATTGTGATGGATAACTTTTCCTTTGTGGAATTGCTACATTTATTTAAGTAAAATATCTAGATACTGCTTTCACCACTAAAATACCTATATTAACAAGGACTGTTGCTGAATGAACATTGAATGAGCTGCATTTAAATATGTAATTATATTAGACCATGCAAAATATTACAGCTGCAATTTCAAAAGCAAGGAGTAATTTTCTTATGATTTTAAAAATGCCTCTGACATGTTTAAGCATTGTTTCTTGCTCTCCAACTCTGGTGAAGAGTGAGGGGAATTTGCTGATGCGTCTGACTGAGAGGAAACAGTCTGGGTCCTCTCTCCCTATTTACTGACTGTTGTGTCAGCAGGCAGCGCCAAGCCTACCTTTTAAAAACCTGTTAGTGTCTTAATGGCTTGCCGACAGGAACAACCACACACACACATGCACACCGAAGACCTCACAAACTCACTACACTAGCACTGGATATACAAGAGAACAAACTTAAATGCGCAAAAATAGATCCAGAAAGCATCAGTAAGCACATAATGCCCAGATACCTACATGCATGGTGTGTGTGTGTGTGTCTGTGTGCGAATCCCTGTCACATGATCCTAAAACGTAAGTTTGACCTTGATGGTGATTCATCCGCTGCAAAGGTAGACACCACAGACTCTCACTTATTAATGGATAGCAGCTGGAGAATATAAAATAGATGTGTGATTTTATTACTGATGGTTGATTTAGATTTTTCTTGTAAAGTGTAAAAAGCTGAGAAGGGGGGAGCTCCACCACCACCGCCTCACCACAGAGATATTGATCTCTCTCACTCTGGCCTCCCGAGAGCTGTGTCTCATATCTCCAACCAAGTCAATGCATTAACACACACTCTCTCACACACACACATCTGATCTTGATGCATTAGCAAGTGCAGCGTCATCAGTTATCCTCTTCTGACCTGCTAAAAACACACACTCTAATAATATTTTTCCATGTCATCTATGGCAAACTGTTGCACACAATCCAGGGATCCAACACTGTCTTCATTTCAGAGAGAAAAGGGAAAATAGATGAAAGTAAAAGGCCTGCAGAGGAGTTAAAGTGTGGGGAGGTAGGGTGTTGATCTGTGTGTGTGTGTGTGCGTGACACACTGCACATATTTGGGTAATTTAACGTCACACCTCATCTGCAAACTGTAGCAGCTAAGGAAGATGTAGACAGGCAGCCAGGGGCAGCCCCCCCCCAGGAATCTGATTGGCACCCATGGTTCCCCCCATCAGAGTCAGAGGGCGATAAGAAGTTGGTTTGTTAGTATCATATGGATTACTGTTTAGAGGCTCAGGCCCGGGGATCCTAGACCAGAACCTCTGTATGAAGAGACTACTAACATTTCTTTTTGGAAAGTCAACCAAATCACTACAAAGAGACACAAATAGACTAAGAAAAACGACCACAGATAAGGCCACAAGGCCACAAATAAGCACCAAACGACCACAGAGATGCAAAACAAGAGGGACAAGGAGAGAAAAGTGACTAAAAAGAACTGTAAAATGACCTCCCCCCCCCCCCCCCCCTACCCCTATTCAAACATTTCTAAACCCGCCCCTGAAAAGGTAGATGTGGTGGAGGAAAAAGAAGGACACTATGGAGCAGGAAAGTGAAGCAGGGAGTTGAGCAGAGGGTAAGAGAAAGTCTGCGGTTTGCCAAAGTTATGGAATGACAGAGGGGATGGAGGGAGGCAGAGGAGGAGGGGTGGCAAGCTTCGGGCTGCAAAAGCGAATCAGATGGACAGACGGAGAAAAAACAGAAGTGCAGTGGAGTAAGAAGAGACCACCAGAAGGACTGGATGGGTGGAAGGTTTAGGGTGGACAGGGCACTTCAGTTTTAAAGCTCAGCCAGAGTGAGCGCTGACTAAGTGAGGCGAGGGAGGAAAAGTTGCAACTAGAAGCAGCAACAGATAAATTGAAGAAGCTGCAGAGAGAGAGAGGAGTGATGGAAAAGTATGTGCAGAGGAGGTAGACACCAGGGGAGGAGGAGGTTTCATTCCCCACAGCTCCTCTCAGTTTCTTAGGATTTCCCTCCCTGGACGCTGCTGCTCTAAGTGCCTTCTCTCCAGGGCCATACTCTTCCATATCTGGAGCTGGTTTTGGGCAATACAGTGAAGTGGACTGAATCAGACGCGACAGCAACGCAGAAGCTCAATTTTACTATTTATGGTTAAATTAAATCTGTTCGGAAAGGTGTTTGGTGGACCTGAGGATTACTGACTGTAGGAAAGCAGGAAAAGTGGTAACTTGGCTGATTTAAAACCTCACAAGTCCCATAAGTAGATGTCTGATCAATTGTTTTGACTGTTTGGACAATCCAGCCTTATTCTGCCCAGTTTTTACTTTGCATGCAATTGAGCTTTTTATATCTTGACTGACAGGTCTGTTTTAAAAGATGATCTCATCCTGAATGTTTTGAGCGAATGCCGCTAAGACTAGAAAGTCAAATTGTCCCCGGCTTGCAGATAAACAGTATTTACAGTATGTTGTTGTTGCAGAGCTAAGGTTTCAGAAACTGCTTTTGTGGTTGGCATATATAATGGGGTAATTTATTTACATTTGCTAATGTTGTTTTGCCGTTTTATGGCATGGACGATGAGAAGACCAGAGTATTTCTGTTCTCAGATGTTCATTATTTCAGTAAGTCAGCTGGATTCACCCGGACTTTCTCACACCTAATGTGAGCAAAATAATGAAAATGGACCAAGAGTCTGTACCAAATCTTTCCCAAAAGACATTTTCATCTAAAACCAAGAATTTATTAGTGTAAACTATGACGTGAGGACCGATAATAGCTGTTTGGATTAAGAGGGTGAGCAGTAACTTGTGACTTTGCTGAGCTCCTGCGGGTGCGTACAGGAGGAAAGCCTGGAAAGTGACTCTAAACGTCTCGTTTAATGCACTGTAATAAATGGCTCGTGACACAACCCCCATTTTCCCTCATGGGTCTAGAGAGGGAGGTTTTCCATATATGTCGGCTCCCACATATTTTCCACTTCAGCATCAGTGTTGACATTAGAGCAGCCTTCGTCCAGCTCGCTGGCCTGGCTCTCATGCTGTCTCCTGGTCCTGGAAACATTCCACGATTCCTGATTACCTCTGTTGAAAACACTTGTTGTTGACTTGCCTGGCCCAGCTTTACTCTGGGCCAACCCAGGTTTCCTTTCGTCTTATCCCGCCGGGGGCCAGGCCTTTTCGTGCAGGCTGGGCCCTGAGTGGGCTCCCCCTGTCCTGAAGTCATGGGGATCCAGGGCATGGAGCTGTTTGCCATCGGCGTGGTCATCATCCTTTTCATGGCAGTTCTCAAGCAGTTTGGCATCTTGGAGCCCATGTCCTCATTTGAAGGTAAGGGCCCACCTGAGGCCCCTCTACTGGCTAACATATACTTGTGTTTTGGTGCTACGGCATGGCTGTACTTTGGACTGACTATTTCAGTGGGCAACTCTTTACTATTTAACATTTATAAGCACAATAAACATCTAAATGATTTATGACAAACTATAATGTAGTTATACGCAGATATGGGGACATTTTAAGTGTGTAATAATATACAGTATTATTATAACGTGCCCAATGAAGAACTGAATTGATATTATGACAACTGTGTTTTACTATATTGTTATTCATTATCTGTTTATACACCGACTCAACAGAAGGAGTTATAGTTGTTGACAAATACATCTTCAAACACAGTTTCCTCTTACAAAAACATTGCATTGTGTTATAAATCATTTATTAATTGATTATATACTAAAAGCTACTTATAGAGGGGTGGGATGTTAAAGTAAAGCGTTAAAGGTTTTATCTTGTGAACTGTAGTGTTGTCTAGAAACATTTAGGTTGAGTTCCTAAACTAATATAATAATGGTAAAATGCTCCTTTAAGGAATTAGAAAATTCTTGTTAAGCTAAATAAAATGCAGAAAAATTGGATAATCTGAAAAAAGCATTGACACGAAGCTGAAAATAAAATAGGGGTGCTTTTCTTCGCTCATGAAAGGTTTTGGATTTTTCTTTTACTTTTGAAGCCCAAATTCTTGTTTGGATATATCGTAAGAGAGACTTGCCTCCAAGTAAACACAGCTGGCTGTTTTATGCAACCATTCTCCAGTACTTTCAATTACTCGTTTCCTAAAAGGGGAACCAAAAGTATATTCCAGCATTAAATGAAGGAAAGTACGTGCTTTGCTTTACATTTTTAACATCCATGAGATACATTTTAAGAAGTTTTGCTGGTGTATAATAATGATAATTTTGTTGGGTTTAAATTTGCCCACCGCATCTCTATATGCAAATACAGTATCCTCTCCTCTTAGTTTAATTTAAAATATCATATCCTTGTTATAGATTTAACTACCCAACTGCTTATGAAGTAGTTTTAGAAGTAGCAGTTTGCTCCAAACTTCAGCAGGTACAACCATAAACATGTTGCTTACATATTAATGCACCAGTAATAATAACCCATGTATATAAATATAATTAATCATTAAAACATTTTTAGGAGCCATTGTCCTTTGCTGGAAAAATTTGATGATAATACATTTGCACTTTTGTGTATGTAAGTAATAATTTAAGTATTTTCATATTGCCATGTCGATAGTTTACCCCTATACAAAAGTAAGTAAAGTACATTTTATTTACATTACATTGTCTAGAAGTCACAAAGTGGTTTACAATAAAAGACAAAAGCAAGTCATAAAATAAAGACTCAATGAAAAAGTAATGTATAAAACAGAGACGGGGTGTTGTGGTTTTAATTTAACATCTTGCAAAGGGTCAACATCAGTGAAATTGATAAATTTATATTGTGCCTGTAAGATTAAATAAATAAAGAGTGCATCTAATCTCACGTTCCTGGTCAGGCACCTTTGTTACGTCTCTCTTTGCTCTGTCTCCTCATTCCCTGTCAGCTCTGCACTATGTATAAATTAAAAAAATATAAAAGGAAATACACATAAATAAAACTCAAAAACACTACAACTACTACAGTACTACTACATTACTACTAGTAATTATGTTTTTTTATGTTTCAAAATATAATCTAAGATCTGGACTATCGACAACTCTATGTTCGGCATCCGAGTGGGAAAAGGTTAATGTGATGTTTTATTTTGCCTACAAAGAGATGCACCATAAAACCGTTGATGGGCCAATACACTGTACACCTGGGACTGTAAAAGAGCCATCAGATCCTGCTCTTTGAAGGATGCAGTTCCCTTTGATTAGAGTTTTGGGCGTAAGGCCAGCCAGCCAGCCAGAGTGCCCTGCAGTCAATGTGCCAAGACAATTACAGCAGGAAGGCTCCAGTCGGCACATTAGGGCTTCTCATATGGTTCAGCATCATAAGTAATAAATTCAACAAAAACACCAGTAATGTTGTATAATTTATCACTCCTCTGAATCTCTTCAATTCCTCCAATAAGACAGCCTCCTTCCTCCCTCCTCCTCTTGCCACTGTGGCGGGGCCTACACCCGAGTCTAGCATTACTTCACATCAATTATACATGCGGTATCGAACAGGCTTTCTATGAGGCCGCCTAAATATGGAGCCTGGAATACTCCTCCAGGACCCTGAAGGACACTGGCCATTCCTCAGTAGCCTCCGAAATGTCACGTGTCTTCATCCTGATTCCCGCCATGTCATTACTTCATCACCGCCCAGTGTGACAAATTTACCAACTGCTTTTCTCATTATCTCATCTGCTTGAGGATCTTCTCATCGACCTTTACATGTTAAACTTTTTGGCAGCAGATATTATACATTTCATCTCTTTCCAAATTTTCACCTGTCTGAAAAACGGTGAAAAGTGCCTGATGAGGCTGTTATACTTTTTCAGGATTCACAAGTCAAGATGTTGTGCTCCCTGTTGATTGGTCTTGGACAGAAATAGACTCCAAATGCAGCCCTGCTATAAATACCAGCTTTGTGATGGTTGTTATCGAGAATCTCACTGCTGTGCTGATTCAGCCTGCAGTCATTCATGAGCCAGCTTGTCAGGATTGCGATTTTTGCGAGTGATTCACCTGTAGCTCGAGGACAATGAGGTCACGTCCTCAGAGGTATTTCTGGGAATTTGAAAGGTTTAATGACATTAACAAGAGTTCAAATTCAACATTGTATTAATAAATAAATAATTTGAATAAATTAATGTATTAAACAATAATAATTAAAAGCCCATGATAACATCTTAAAATTGCTTTAACAAACCAAAACCTAAATATTTTCATTTTACTATAATGTAAGATTTGGAAACGAAGTTCTTACATTAAGAAGCTGGAACCATTAAAAGTTGCCAGAAAAATTAATATAACATTGTTGCTAATTAGTTGTCTGTCAACAAACTAATTGATTAATTGACGTAATGTTTGATTAACTCATCATTCTGCAATTACACACATATTCTACTTGTTGGTTTTTAGGCTGATTCCTATATTTTAAACATATTCCTTTATTTTTAGGCAAAAAAAAAAATTGAAATAAAAGGGGATGTAGAATTACATGTGTAGAGAGGGCTTAACATAATTTAGGGAGTTAAAATGAACAGAGAATACTTGATTTGTTGAATTAATGTAGAAAATGTGACTGGCCTAGTGGTTTAACAACTATACCATGTAACTGTCATTATTCCTGTCTGTCTCTCTACATTTCAGCACAACTGAGAATTTTAGTTTTAGAGGAGAAATAAACACAATAAAAACACAATAAGACAAGAAGACATTAAAATTATGTATATGTTCAATTTAGGCAAAATCTTTCCACTCAAAAATTTATTTTGTTTAATGTTACATTTCTTGGATGTCTGAGCTTCACTGAATTAATTTGCAAATTCATATATTCAGGATTTTTCAATGAGGGAGAAAGATTAGATGTAATTGAGATTTTGAGAGATTATTAAATTATTTTGTGGAGAAATCGTTTCCGACTGTGTTTTTTTGTTTTTTGTTTTTAGCATCAGCAGTACATTAGACGTCCTTCATCAATCAGCAAACCGTTAAGGTCTTACAGCTTATTTGTTGCACTATTAATATCATCAGCACTCGAGGAAAAGACCCTTTGATGCGCCTTCACAACAAAATGTGCACATTGTCTCCTTATGTGCGTGTGTTTCATGTTTTTCATGTGCATTGAGGTTAAAGTCTCCACCGGAGACCTTAACTGATGGGGAGGTCTCCACGGGCAGAGACTGCATCATAAATGCATACTATCCCATGGGCAGAGAGCAACAAACGTGTGTGTGTGTGCGTGCGTGCGTGCGTGCATGCGTGTAAAATTCAGTGAAATTATCTGATTTAAAACAAAACCTGCTAGCCTTTGATTGTTTTGTTAGTCCCGGTCCTCTCTGCTCAGATGTCGATTTTGGGTTCAGTCCCAACTGGTCCTATTTTGGGCCGACATCTGATGCCAGAGCCTTGTCTTTAGAGATGTACAAGCTCTATTCCGAGGTTCTCCGATGACCAATATCTGGTATTTTTACTCCCATCATGACTCTTGTGCATGATGTGAGTGAATTTCATTTGTTCATCTCTGACGTGTTTGCTCATTTCCTTTCTTGTCTGCTAGATCAATCAGATTGAAATGATGATTGGTATTTCTAGAGGAAAGTATTACAAATTAGAGTATTAAATACTATATCCCTCTTCCCAATTGAATTTAGATTTTCTTTACAACTAAATCTGTGTCCTCATACTGTCCAGGGGCCAAAATCCAGATGAAAGAATGTGGGGGGGAAATGATAATGATCAGGAAATAACCAGGTCTAAGTGACTAAACATTGATTTTAAATTGGGTTAGTGCATTAATAATACAGAGATTTACATAAAAATATAATTGTGTATGAACATGGTTGAGTAAACCAGATGCCCGAAGCAATGGGCCTTTTTTGTGAACAAAAAAGAAAGAAGAATTTTTGTACATGTTGGATGAAGTTACTTGTAATAAAAACAAAAACCTCCTGTGCTGACACACTGTCTGTGTTTTTCTCCACTAGAGGGAGGATTTGTTCTCCATTTCCCTTACATGAGTATGAGTGTGTGACACAGTATTAAATCTGTGTTACGGACCCCAGGAGAGACAGGGGAACAATTAGAAACTGGATCACGGAGCTGCCTGGGAAAATGAGATTCAGGGCACCTGTTGACCTCTGTCAGCAGCCTCTCTGATTGCTTAAAGACAACTTGTTTTGTGTATGTTACATTTAGAAAAATAAATTATAATCTTGTCCATTGTCCAAGCTTCTGCATTAAGTGCCTCGTTGTTTTTACTTGGTTTTTATTTTGTTAGTTTGATGGAAAAAACAGCTGTTCTCTAGTTCCTTGGGAGTTCACAAGTTAATTAGCAGAAATTAAGATGTGAGATGGAGGGAGAAAATAGGAAGGAGTTGCAGTGCATCAGTCATTCAGTTAGTGGCGGATTTTGTGACACCTCAGGATACATGTTGGATGTCTTTTTTTATTTGATTCAAGAGTTTTGTCACCAAGTAGAGGAATACTATTCATTGGAGGAATCCCAAACCAACTGTATGCTTGTGCCGAAAAAACCTACACGTGTGATGTGAGAGTATCTGAGCTTCCTCTCTATCTGATTGGATTTCCCATGGATTAACATGGTAGTCCAGATTTTTCTCTCTATTTGGAGGCATTTTTACAGCAATAATCGGATCCACTTGGCCTTAATAAAAGAGTTGGGCCATCAGACCCTGCTCTTAGTTGTGGAGAATATCCTGAAAGATCCACTAGAGCAGGAGAGAGCATGGAGGGAAAAAAAGGCAGTCAATTAAAAAAGGCAGAAGGGGAGAGCTAAATAGAGTAACAGAAACTGCAGGGAAAAAAATTGTGACAGAAAAGGAGTGATGAGTGACTGACACTGTTTCCGAAACAAGCCGAGAAAGAGAAGAAGAACAGAGAGGGTGAGATTGAACGAGACAGATGGACTCAGAGAAAGGTGTATCGAAAGTCCAATAATGTAGTAGTGAAGGAAAAGAAAGAAAGGACCCTGGAGGAAAAGATAGAAGAAGAGGGGAAGATGAGTGTGAGGTGGGAGACGGAGGGACTCCAGACAGTTGGCATCGTCTGCCTGGTGATCATGTTCCTCAAACTGATGCACCTGCTCGGCCTGATTGACATCACTGAGACCGGTGAGGCAACTTGGGAGAGGGGCAGTGAGGAGGAGGATAAAATGAAGCGAAGAGGCTGGAGTGTATGTTTTTTAATCCACATAAATATTTGTGAATGTTGTTTGACTCAGCTCTGGCTTAATCATGAGAGGAGTATAAGTAGCTGAACAAAAGTTGTAAATAATAAAGATATTATAAAAGGCTGTTGTGGAAAAAACAGATTTGACTTTAAAGAATAAGGCTGTTGATATTTGACAACAAAACACCAAAACCAAAAATGTGTTACTTCTTCCCTTAAGGACTTCCCCAGCCTGCCTGTAGATCTCAGCCCCAAGAACATACATCTTTAAAGATGGGTCACAAATATATAGTTTCATTTTTTTAAAAACAGGTTCACTGATTCCCTAGAAAAGCTGGGCACTGTTGTTTTTAGCAAATGTTACTCATAGCGGCGCAAAGAGTGCATTTGTTGGGGACTATTTTCAGCTGGGTATGAATACACAGTTGGTGCTCTGTGTGCTCTGCCCACAGTGTTTACTAAGTGGAGTTTTACAGATGACTAAATTAAAATGGGTTGCACCACACTAACTTATTACTTAGTTGTTACTAAATACAAGAACCAAATGCAATTTGCTGTTGAATATTATTTTTTACTCTTTACATGTTGATATTTAATCATATTTGCTTGTATCATAATATATTATGTTTATCCAGGTGTTCTCTAGATAATTATATTTTATTTGTTTGTTGTCTGTAATGTACTAACAAATAGAAACATGTCCCTTTAGGACCGACTGCCGACACTTCAGGGCAGTAAGTAGCTGCAGAATGGAGCTTCACAGTTTTATGACCATATTGTGGACTAACTTGGGGATAATTTGAATGTACAAGGATAAACGGCAGTGTTTTCTGTAAATATGTTAACTTGTTTCTATAAAGGAATTCACTTGTTCACCAAGTTTATTTTTGAATGAGGGAAAGTGGATTAATAAACCCTGTGTAACTGTTGTGTAGCTAACTGAACCAACTGACAAAGCTCACGTTAGCTTGTTATATATGTTATATATGACGCGTTTAGAGTGAAGAGTAAAAACAGAAAAATATATAAATAAATGATGTTTAAAAATTATGTAAATCTTGAATATTTTAAATTACATTTCACAAAAATAACACACCTCACCTACGAAACATTATACCAATAACGTTTGACTAAAAGAGTGAACGTCAGTTGAGTTAGCATAATCACATAATTCCCTCATTTCTACAGTATGAATATTATTAACTCTTGCACACAGATTTCTCCATGTATGCAGACTTAAATAAAACAATAACACCCTCATTTGCAAAAGATATATCTTTTGCACCTCTAAAAATGTACTTTTAAGTTATGCTAGCTTGTGATGCTACAGGGACTTCCTGTTTGCATAGTTCATTGCTGTTGATTGGACTGATGTATCACCATATGGGTTTAATTACATTGAACTATAAAATGTAAAAAATGACTTACTAGCTTTTTTAAGCATGTCCCCTTGAGTTGAGAGATGATTTTGTGCAGGACTGAACTTGAATTATTGTTTTAAATGAACCCTAAAAAATCCAAGGTTAAAATTAAGGGCAGCTGGACTTGGTTGAAGATACTTAAAGACGTTTGGCCTCTCATCCGAGAGGCTTCTTCAGTTCTGACGGACTGACAGGGAATCCCAGCTTTTTAACCTCTGTGGGGTCGTTATCAAGGTTGTGGGTACCGCTTGGTTCGTTAGTGCTCCTCCTGGTTGTTGTGACGACAGTCATTGGAGACACCTGAGGCCAAGTCTGGGAGATAAGTGGTGTCGCAAACCTGCTGGAGGTGGTCCCTCCACTCGGGTGTAAATGGCCACCTTGACTCCACTTATCTCCCACATACAATGCTGTCCTTTCATCATTTCGCAGTAAACTAAACAAACGCTCACATTTGGCCTTGGGTGTCTCCAACGACTGTCGTCACAACAGCCAGGAGCACTAACAAACCAAGTGGTATGTATCATCTAGACAACGACCTCACAGAGGCCTCTTGGATGAGAGACGAAAGTATCTTCAACCAAGTCCAGTTGCCCTCAGAATACTATGACCTGGATGACTGAGAGCCGTCACAGGCAACCCTAAACAATATCACATAAGAGTGGTTCAACTCCTTCTGCTAGTTTTGGTTTGTGTTTCTCAGCGTATTATACATTTCTGTGCTCTGCTGGATGTTTTATCAGAATATAACTTGATTCTTTTCCTCTGGACCGCTGAGCACCTATCAAATAAACCTCTCAGTGTCCAATCTGACTAGTTTTCTTTGTTCTGTTTTTCTCTTCCTCTCATTATCACTCTCTCACTGTTCTCCATTTACGCTCTTTCACTCCATCTTGGTGTCAATACCCCTCCTCCTCTTCCTCCTCCTCCTCTCTTCTCTCTGTCTAAAGATGGTGAGTATGGTATCAGAAAAAAACCCAACTAACTTCGAGCACTTGAATGTTTTCCTTTTTCCCAGTCATGCAGTGCTTTCTCTTTAGAGCGTGTGAACTGGTAACCAATAATGCTGCAACACTTAATCGTGCATTTGTGATTTGCTCTGTGAGTAAAAAGTGACTTTGATTGAATTTCTCAAAATCTGATTTTCTGCAGTTTTTTTCTTTTTTCTTTCTTTTTTTTTTTTTTTTTTACAGTAAACAGATCATTATTGAGTTTGGTGACATTTCCACCATAAAGAAAGTACCTCCTCTTCTTTTTCACTCCCTTGTTCGCCTGCCTTTTGCTCCTCTAAAGCTTTTTGATAAATCTCTCTCTTAAACTCGGCTGTTTTCCACACCTCCTCTATACCAAATGCCTCCCCGTTGAATGATCCCACCCCTCCCTGAATGTTGACCTGCATCCACACACTCAATGTCCGCCCCATCCTCCCTGTTTTTCTCTTCATCTTTCCCTTGTCACTCTTTATTTTATCGCTACCTGTCTGTCTATCCATCCCATCCTCTGTCTCTCTCTTTCTTCCACAGACAGCAGCGACAGTGATTTGGAGTTATCGACAGTGCGTCACCAGCCAGAAGGGCTGGACCAGCTGCAGGCTCAGACCAAGTTCACCAGGAAGGAGCTTCAGTCTCTCTATCGAGGCTTCAAGAACGTACGTCCGGCTGCTGATATGTTCTCCATTGCTTTACCACCTTTACTATTCTTTATATAGACTTGAATTATTCTGATATCTTTTTTTTTCTTTCTTGGTTGAGCAGGAGTGTCCCAGTGGGATGGTTGATGAGGAGACATTCAAGACCATCTATTCTCAGTTCTTTCCCCAAGGAGGTTAGAAGTTAAAACAGTCTCTCCTCTCTTGTCCTTTGAGAAATTAGGGATGTTGCAGTTTTTTCTATGAGTGTCCAAAGCAAACATTAAAAAGCCTGGAGAGGGTCCATCCCAATAATTTTCTCCCTTGTTGTTTTGGATGCTTTGGTGAAATGTAGTACACTAAATCTATGAGCCTGACTCCTTTTGTCCACAGATGCTACCACATATGCTCACTTCCTGTTCAACGCATTTGACATAGACAGAAACGGTTCAATCCGCTTTGAGGACTTTGTCATCGGCCTGTCAGTGTTGCTCAGAGGTTCAGTCACTGAGAAGCTCAACTGGGCCTTTAACCTCTACGACATTAATAAGGATGGCTACATCACCAAAGAGGTATGTGTGGCTTATGGAGTATGCAACTTTTTGGACATGAAAAGTTCAACAAGGTGCGACAAAAGCTGGAATCACGCCAAAAGATTGCAGTTATGTGGTATCTAAATGCGTCTGGACCACTGGGTTACCAGGACCCCCATTGATTATGCAATATTGAAATTTGAAATGATTCACAGTTATAACAAATGGTCAAAGCGGTGTCTGTATCCAGAGCCATTGCAGGAAGGTGGCGAGGCTCAGGACTTTAATCGGGAGGTCCTGATCACTAACATGCACACACACAGACCACAGTACAGTTTTTGTTTCTCCAACTTGATAACAAGGTGCTAAAACATCATCACAGCTAGCAGAAACAGCAGCATGCTCACCTTTAACAGCAATGACTTTAACAAAGAAAATAACAGTTCCTAGATGGCTTTCTTATAGTCCCTTTGGCACACTATGAAAAACTCTTTCACTTCTGTCTTTCTCTTCTTCAGGAGATGCTGGCGATTATGAAGTCAATCTATGACATGATGGGGAGGTACACCTACCCCTGTGTGCGAGATGAAGCACCCTATGAACACGTGGACAAGTTTTTCCAGGTTCTGAATGCACATAATTTTAAAAAGATATATATAAGCACACTGTGTTACAAGGCCTCTTTTCAGTTTTTCTACTCAAATGAACATTACAAAGTGCCCTCTAAATGCTCACTAATGTGTCATTTCTCTCTGTTGCGTTGATTCTTTTTCCAACAGAAAATGGATAAAAACCGAGACGGTGTGGTGACCATTGAAGAGTTCATTGAGACCTGTCAGAAGGTGACTTTTTCACCCAGTCCCACCACAAACAGATAAGGGCAACAAAATCAGAAAATCACACTTACTCAGCAACACGTAGTGTACAACAGGTCACGGTTCAGTGCCAGTAACAACATGATGTCACAGGTATTGACCGAGATTATCCACTTACAGTAAAGCACCACTCATGTCTTTGAGAAATACCTCACTTTCCCGTCTTTTGCCTGAATCATGTCCAGACCCTCCCTCTTTTTATTATGGTATGCTTGTTAGGTGTGGCTGAAAAGGAAGTTAACTCAGGCAGATTTATTTTCAAGTAGCAAGAAGTGGACTGGGGTGTGGGAAGTGGACAGACAGGTGAGAGGACACCAAGGCAAGCTCCAGCTTGACGGGCTGCGTCCTCCAGCAAACAATTTAAGGCAGGCGGGCAGGTAGCGTCCTCAAACAGGCGGGGATTCTATTCACAATATTCTCAAATTGGCCACTGAAGTTTCTGACAAACTGGGGAGGAGTGGGTGAAGAGCCGGTGTATTTCACTGAGGTTGATTGTAGGATGAGCCACAGGTCAGTGCTGCTGCCGGTGGAGAACAGCCAGGAGAGAGGGAGCCACAGCGACACGCCCACAACATCACACGCAAGACATGACAGACAAAAAACAGACAGAGACGGCAGGGAGGGGAAACAGTGAAAACAAGGGGACAGAGGTGGTGGCAAGGTGGCTGTTCTCCGCAGACTGGAGCAGGGAAGCCCAGTTGTCCTTCCACAACCTGCGGCAGCGTTGGAAGTGGTGCAGGGAACAGAGGGGGCTGGTAGCCTAGGGAGTCTTCGAATTTTGACAAGCCCGTGGCAGAGCTGGTGAGGAAATTGTGGGCATATTCCACCCAGGCAAGGAGGATACTCCACGTGTTCGGGTTCTGGGTGGTGAAGCACCGTAGGGCTGCCCCCAGATCTTGGTTGGCCCTCTCAGCTTGACAATTAGTCTGCGGGTGGAAACAACCATGAACTGAGGGCCTCTGTCTGAAACGATAGACCATGCAGGTGGAAACATCTGCCTCAATGGAGGACCACCAGAAGCTCCGCCTAAGCAGGGACAGGGTTCTCCGATAGCCAGGGTGACAGGTGAGGCTGGACCACGCTGCGGCTAAACTGCCCCCACCCCGCTGTCAGATGCATCCACCTCCGCTATGAACTGGTTGGAGGAGTCAGGATTAACTAAGATGGGAGCGGAGGTGAACTGGGTTTTTAGCTTGGCAAAGGCTGCTTGGGATTCAGGAGACCATGTAAACGGGGCTTTAACAGAGGTTAGTTGTGTTAATGGAGCAGTTATCTTGCTGTGGTCCCTGACAAACCTGCGGTAAAAGTTTGCAAAGCCCAAAAACTGTTGGAGGTGCCTTCGGATATTGGGGACTGGCTACTATACTACTGCCTTTATCTTGCCTGGATCTACTTTCATCTGCCCGCACCCAATGATATACCCCAAAAAACTCACACAACTGGAGTGGAATTTGCATTTCTCTGCTTTGACGTATAGTCTGTTCTCCAGCAGCCGCTGGAGCACCAGGCAGACATGGGACACGTGTTCAGTTTCTTGAAAAAATCTAAATGTCAGAGATAGACAAAAACAGAGCGGTTCAGGAAGTCTCTGAATACGCCATTGACTAGGTTCTGAAAAACTGCAGAAGCGTTGGTTAACCGAAATGGCATTACCTGATACTCAAAGTGACAGAAGAGGGTTTTCCTCTCGTCTCCTTGCTTGATCTGTACCAGGTGGTACGGGTTACAGAGGTCCAGTCTGGAAAAGATGGTGGCCTGTTGTAGCGGTTCGAAGGCTGATTAGCGGCAGTGGGTACTTGTTTTTAAGGGCGCGGCCCAATCATAGACAATGATTATTCGTCTTTCCCACCACCTCTCATTCACATGATCACTAGTTACCCAAATACAACCCGGGCAATGGTTTTCAAACAAGATTACACCTAATTTCATCTAAGAACACTTCCGAACACTTGTACTACTACAATTATGTTACACAAACTAACATAAAACCAACAATCACAGAAGGACGAAGAGTAATAAAAGGAGGAAAAACACAAAAGCCATTAGTTGTTGGTAGTTAGTTGGTGGTCACCGCACTGTTATTCACTTCTCTGCTATATGGATAGGAGAGACAGAGCCACCTACAGTCCAGTATAGGGAAAGACAGGCATGTCTAGGCTACAGCTGAACCATACATTGTCACACATTATCCAAACCACAAGAGACTGGAGGTGGTTTGTAACAGCAGAATACTTATTTGACTGAAACATGCTGACAAACTAAAACTATAACGTCTGTAGTCTGTAAAAAAAAAAAAAACTTAGTTCATGGTATTTGGATTGACACTGTCAGTCCTTTTGGGGAGTTAAAGGAGAAGCCCCCCCCCTTCCCCAAATACGTAAATATTTACCCACAAGTGTTGTAGACCACCTAATACACGCCTTTTCTTTAAACCTGCGGGAAACTGAACCATGATTCATACACAAATGTGTTTTTTTACATTTTTTGGTTAGATACATGATTTATTTACTGTTTTGAGTTTGAATAACTCGGTAGGCCTGAGCTCCATGAATCTACACCACTGTTGTTCACCTTGAAGCAAGTCAAAACTTGCTTTCTTCATGACTGTACCTAAAGAACATCACCCTTAAACATCCTTAGCGCTATAAAATGTTGATTGACATTTATGGGTTACGGTGGAAGACTTTATCTCTTGATGTTGTGGGTCTGTGTGGGCACAAATCTCAACATATCTTAAAAAAAGCAGTGTCAGTGAGGAAAATATGGGATATGATGGTGCAAATATGCAAGTATTTGACTTTTAACTCCTTGTTGTAATTGCTGTGCCACAAAATTGGAATTATAATGTACCAGCTGTGATGGCCACTTTTTTCTGGACTTCACAAGTAGTTGAGTGCTGAGATTAAACTATGTGGGCTCAATCATGTTGTGTTTGGTTGTCCTGTAAACATCAGTTTTGACTCACATTTACCCCAAACTTAAACACTGGGCAATGTATCTGCTACAGCTTTGCAGCTGTTCTAACATGCCACAGAGGGATTTAGCTACCCTTTGAGGAGAATTGACTAAACTAATATTTTTTTAATAACAATAATGAGAAAGAGCTTTGCAAAAAAATGTAATTTTTTTGTAGAATGCCAAAAATTACGAATGTTTTTATATTGCTTCTAAAGGTACTAGAGGGCTAAAATTTGAGAGCACAACCTCGAATTAATACAAACCACATCTATAGCGAATAAATCTTCTTTTCTCTGTTGTCTTCATTCCAAAAATTCTATTCTAAATTTAAAAGTACTTCAGCAAGTCTTTTAGACAGGATCAAGTCAAGTTAAAAGGATTATACAACAAACAGCACTAATTTCCAAAATCATTCTCTTAGCAGCCACTTTTGCTTGACTTCTTTCTTGGACAGCTAGATACCAGTAAACAAACAACAGGACCGGTTTTAAGTTGCTTTCAATGTACTTACACACAGTCTCAGGAACTAGAAATAGACAAACAGCAACAAACAAGGACAACAAAGCTGAACAAATACTGGTAAAAACATAGAACTATCATGTAAGTAGGTAAAACAAGTGTATATTTAAAATGCAGCAATAACCAACAACAAACAATGTCTATATACAAGTCAAGTGATCTGTAGATTGTAAACAAATACAACTAGTGCATAGAAATAAATATTAAATCGGTAATGTTATTGATTACTTTATATACATGACGTGGGTGGTTATGTACAGTATACATATATTTTTAATTACATTTTATTTTTAACTTTATATTTATGTTTTTTGACTTGCAGTACTTGTTTTAGCTCTCTTCTTCTACTTACTATGTTTATTGTTATGCACCAACATACCAAAGCAAATTCCTTGTATGTGAAAACCTACTTGGGAAAAGATAACCGGATTGGGATGCTGATTCTGACACGTTAAAGCACAGTGTGCATTTGAAACTGTAAATATATCATTTTAAATTGTAGGTAAGTGGATGTTTTAGTGTTACGGGTTACATCCATAATTAATTACTAATAATGAATCAATCACTTTGGTCCGGAAAGAGTTCACTGGAAACTTTGTTGTCACTGTGGCCACTTGATAAAAACACATGATTATGTCCTAAACAAATGTTGACAAATGTTTTTCTTCATCTTTTTTTCCCCCAGGACGAGAACATCATGAACTCCATGCAGCTGTTTGAGAATGTGATATAAAGAATCAGAAAGCTGTCAGTTGTTTTTCCTTCATTAGCATCACATCTACAACTCACAAACAAACACAGCACACCCATGCAAACTCATCCTGGCATACAATGTAGGAACTGTAGCGTTTTTTGTGTTTCTCACCGCGCTCCTTTAGCTGTATCTTGCAACTGCTTCTGGATTGAAAGGACTGCTACAGACAGAAGAAGAGCTTCCTCAGTATACCTCCTGTCTATCATAGTGTGTTTTTGTGTCCTACTTGAAGAATCAGAAGAGCTCCTTGTGTTTTTATCAAGGAATAAGGACGCTTACAATAATCCACTGACCTGAGCACACAAGGATACAAGCTTTAACACTAATACACTTCGTCTCTCTCTCACACACACACACACACACACACAAAAACACACTCTCACATACACACTGATCCGCTGTTTCCTCAAAAGGTTTTAAAGCACTGGATGAAGTGAACTACGAGCAGCACGGAGGAATAAAACGAAATGAACTAAAGCATGTTTGTCATCAAATATGTGATGTGGAATGAGCTTGCACTAAAATTTTACGTATTATGTGCTCCTGAAGTAAAGGCACTGTAGATACCTGCACCTGATACACCACTGGTGGAAACCAGTGTATGTATATATGTATAGTTAACAGTTATATACCCTACGTTGTATTGGTCTCATCTGTGCTGCACTGAGTGATGGAATAGGACCAGAGTATTTGTTTAAAAAAATCTCTGTGTTAATCAGTTTGACATCGTGTTTAGTAGCAAAATTTAAATGTATTATTCAAATATTTCTCTCTCTCTTTTTTATTTTGAAAGATGTCGGATTATGTTTAACTGGTCAGATTGGAAATGTTGAGTCTGTTCAGTACTGTGAGGAAACAAAAGGACTGTTAAAAGTGTGTTCTTGTGCTGAATTAAGGCTTTATCTTGGTTCTTCAGTATCTATGAGCATGCTGACTCTTAAGTGCCACAGTATTATGTACAGTACAGTTAGACCTTTTGTGATGTTGGTTCATTAAAGATGCTGTTGACAGGTGAGGCTTCTACTTTTTTCAGTCCCTTCACCACATTTCCCTCATGCATTCAGATGACGAAGCAGCAAAAACTGTGGATGAACAAACATGAAGTCAACTGACAAGAGTGAAATTAAACAGTAGGAAATGGTGACACAAAAAAAACAAAATAAGGATGTTTTGTCAACAAATGTGAGACCAGAACAACTGAATATTTGTAACTACTAAAACTCTGAAAGTTTTTTTATCCTTTTGTTAGTTAAATTGAGTTACATATTGAGGAAGAGCACTGAAATCCCATTCACATCAGTTGCTTAATCCATGCCTCACCTCCAAGGGCTTATTTATCAGCCATTTGGCTTCCAGCTGACTTGTAATGTCCACTCATATTCATGCAGGAGTACACGGCATCCTTCACAACCTGACAGTTCTTACTATCACTCTGCTGATACCATCATGACATCGTTTGTGGCTTCAGCTCCCTCCACCACCCAGACCTGCTCCTTATGTTCATGTGCAGAATGTAACTAAGTATATGTAATCAAGTACTGTTCTGAGTTTTTCTATTTTATACAATGATATACTTGTACTCCACCATATCTCAGAGGCAAATGTTGTACTTTTTACTCCACTACATTTGTCTGACAGCTTTAGTTACTTCTCATTTTCATAGCGATCCTGTCCAGTGAAAACCATGTATCCCCAAATTTGGTGGTTTTGGATGTGAATTCTTCTGATAAAGTGAAGGATGAAGTTTTCCTTTATGAGTTGAGAGAATTCTCCTACTTCTTAAGCTCAATAAACTATTAAAAACACTCCTTGAATTAGCTGATAATACCTGCATACTTTTACTTAAGTAAGGTTTTGAATGCAGGACTTACTTCTAGTGGAGTATGTTTACAGTTTGGTATTACTTTTACTTCAGTGAAGAATCTGAGTACTTCATCCACCATTCCTTATGTGTTGCAGCTCTTGTTATCGTTGACTTTACTAAGATCTAATGTTCTTGTATGTCTTGGGTTTTCTGGGTTAGATTTGTTTCTCCCAGCAGAGTCCTTGTTGCTGCACTTTTGAGTGCTGACATTTGAGTGCTCCCTCAGAGAGCAATGGCCCTTTCTGCTAAATCTATAAACATTTGCTATAAATGGTCAGTTCCTTTGACATAAATGACTCCAACTGAACTTCCACAGTTTTGTTGTTTATCCCTTTTCTGGCTGAGAACATCATGAAATCCATGCAGCTCACACAATCTGTGATCTAACATCATGAATTCCATCATCAACCCACAAGCTCACACCAGGTTAACTGCCACTTCACACACACACACACACACACACACGCACACACACGCACACACACCTCATGTTACTTTATCCTGCAACTGCTTCTGGACTTAATGCAAACAGCTGGCTTGTGACCCCAACAGCTGACAAAGGCTTCAGTCAGATATATTCAGTGTGTTTACAACATGCACTTAAGTTACCAGGTTACTCAGAGAAATCGTGTTATAATTTCAAGCAGAGAACACATTTAGATGCACTGTAGTAACCTAGTTATTGTAAATCCATGTAGACATGCACAATCAGAGTGTTTACATGCACAACAATCCTAACCACTCATAATGCTATTGACTTTTATCCCCAACATTAATGTCAAGCCAAGACATACAGTAAGTCTGTGTCACTTGGTTGGTCATTTAGCAAAACATAAATAATAATTTATTGTTGTGTTTAATTAATAGCTCATGGCTTTCCAGTTTAATATGTATAGATTTAGTGAGACCGAGACACGTACCAATTAAAAGGAATAAAACACTCTCATGTCTCATAGTTGGCCTACATGTTGTGGTGTAAACAGATCTGGGGTCTGTTTAAGCCCTCTCTCCGCGGATACGGCGGGCCAGTTGGATGTCTTTGGGCATGATGGTGACCCTCTTGGCGTGGATGGCGCACACTGCCCAGGTGTCCTCGAACAGACCGACCAGGTAAGCCTCGCTGGCTTCCTGCAGAGTCATGACGGCGGAGCTCTGGAAGCGCAGGTCGGTCTTGAAGTCCTCAGCGATCTCGAAGGGCAGCTTGCGGATCAGCAGCTCAGTGGACTTCTGGTAGCGGCGGATCTCTCTGAGAGCGATCACTTCACAAATCTAAAGGTAGAACATTCAATACTATTATGATAAAATCTTTTTTTAACAAATATGATCAGTAAATCTTTTTTCATTCCTTTTCCACAAGAAAATAAATATCTTAATAGAAAAAAAAAATAAGAATAAGTGCTAATTTGTTCGTGATTCAAATGAATTCAATCAAACATTTATTGAAGCTATCTTGAACATTTGTTATGTTATTGAAGAATGTTAAATTGCGATAATTATCATTATTGTTTTATTGTCCAGCCCTACTTCAAAACATGTATTTTAAGAGTTCACTCACAAAATTTGTTTGTCTCTTTTAACTCATTAGGCTATTTTGGTTTTATGCCTTCCAAATCCACATATGGTTTAGTCTCACCGCTCCAATAAGCCTTATTTTCAGCAGCAGCAGAAAGAAGGCATAAAACTGCCCCCTTTAGGAAGCCTGCAGGCTCCAGGTTAACTGAGTGTCAATTAATTTGTGGTAATTTGAATAAAAATGTGTTTGGTAATACTGTATGCACCATCTAAGCAATATCTCAGCTCTCAATAATTGAGCCATCATTTGCATGACACTCACCATAGCACATGATCCCCACACCCACTCAGCCCATTTTTAACAGATAGAGGACAGTTAGATGTGATTGTCCCCTGGCTAGTGGTGCTAAATTCCATAGCTGGGTAATTACTAGAATACAGTATCTATTCTGTACAAATTATGTTCTGGAGGTACATAATGGGCACTCTGTGGAAACAAATCTATCTATATAAACTTAAAATAATAATGGTCTTAAAAAGGACCCTTCTTGTAGGCACCAAACATATTTTGTTTTGCTAAATCCCCACAAACTAATGACCAGTTGTTAATTGAAGCATACACAATAATGCACAATGTGGGAGAAACTGGGATGTCATTATGGGCTCTCTGGCAAGTTAAGATGTACCCCTGATCAAGTGGTCAGAGACAGACTCCAAACAAATGCTGCTCCTTGTGTGCTGGTTAGTCACCAGGCCATTGTTTGATAACATGTCACGCCTACCACTTTTTACCTGTTTACCTGCTGTACACTCACTACTTTACATTGTAGCAAAGTGTAATTTCTTCAGTGTTGTCACGTTAAAAAGACATAATCAAATATTTACTAACATGTGAGGGCTGTGCTCACTTTTGTGAGATATTGTATATTGTTCAGGTTATGGAAGTCAGGGATGAAAAATTTGGTTCAGTAATACCTTTGACCCCTATGTCTGTGAAGATTCTCAGTCATCCAGGTCATAGTTATATAACAAAGGTTAAAGTCAAGGGCAACTGGACTTGGTTGAAGATACTCAAATACCAAGTTTTATAAACATGTTAACTCCGGTACCTCTCAAATACTTGTATCTAAGCGTACTTGATGCCATGTAGGCTAAAAATGTTAAACTTAAAGGCCAAAAAACATACAACGTTGCAACAGAGCAAACTTTATGCAACCTGTTGGTTTTGCCCTGTTATCCAACATTCTGCCAGCTGCAGTGGTGGATGAAGTGCTCAGATCCCTTACATAAGTAAAAGTAATACCTCCCTGTAAAGATACTCTGTGAAAAGTAAACGTACTGGATTGAAAATGTTAAGTAAAAGTATGTAACCTAAGTGTATTCATGAAAATCTTCACATTTGTGAACCATTACTGGTTTTTACATGAAAAATGACTTAAATAATCATCAAAATAGTTTTCTGTCAATCAAGTAATGGTTTCAGCTTTCTTTTTACAAACTGTATTTTTTTAAACTCTTCATCTGTTTTGTGTGTGAAAATCCTCCTTTGTAAAGTAACTAGTTACTGAAGCTGTCAGATAAATGTAGTGAAGTAAAAAGTACAATATTTCCCTCTGTAGCAGAGTAGAAGTAGAAAATGGCAGAAGCACTTGGCAGTACTTCAGTAGGCCAGGCTTAATGCACTTAGTTATTAGTGCTAGTTACTACTGGCCAAAGGTGTCACGACATAGACTGTATAAAAGAAGCGTGTGAATGTAGGCCAGTAAAGGCACTGCAAATAAACAACCATCAGATGGCAGTGTTGCGGGATTCACAAGCCTAAAGGCGAGCAGAAATTTTAATACTCCAGGACCCGGTGAACCTGCTGGAGAAGCAACCAGCACAGCGGCAGAAAAAAAGCTGCGCAGCTTTTACAAGAAAGGTCATCACAAAACATTACAAAACTGATGAAGGTACTGTTACTCAAGATCTTCACAGGGGGAGGAGGCGAGAGGTGTGCGTCACCGCTGCGCCGCCCCTGATTGGCTGAGACAGGTTTCGAAGGCGGAGCACTTGATGTCACTGGAGGATGTGGGCATGCGTGGTGACTAACGTAAACCCCGTGGCTCTATGAAAGACAGGATCACTTCGTAGTGGGACGAGTGACTGTTAGCGGTTCAAAACCCTCGTTTGTAGAGGAAGAAGAGCCTGTCTGGGAAGAACCGGGCTGGAAGAAGGTCTCACCGCAGCACGTCCTGTTCGGGCTTCCCTCCGGCTTCAAGTGTAACGCTAGGTCATCTTTGCCCGCCTCATTTCACCGCGATAGACAACACAAACCACGGGGACGAGCCACCGGACGTAACGTTAGCCGAGAAGGGACGTGGGCTCCTCTATTATCACGCAGGTGAGTACAAAACGTGCAGTTGTTAAACCCACGGGACAGAGTAAGCATACATGTAGATGTTATGAAGCAGGTCATTTGGAAACTCGTGCTTTGGATGCCTCCTGTAACGTTACGTCGTCGCAGCTCAAGCTGGCAGCGGAAATTGATTCAGCGGTTAACGGAAAGGTCTCTGTATCCTTAGCTAGCTAGAGGACCTGTGTGCCAGTGTGATCGTGTGTCTGCTGACGCCGAAGTGTGTCCGTGAAACCGCAAGGCCCAGTTAGTCCAACTCAGGGAGAAAACACGCACGCGGGAACTATTAGCTACTTCTGTTTATGCTGTGGAGGCCGGCTGCCTCAAGGTTTCTAGATACGATGACTTTATTGTGTCTCTAAAACACACTGCAGGAAGACTAAACATGCAGCTGGCAATGTCCTTTCATCACCTGAATTAATGAGACCCCGAAAGAGAAGAGCTGATAAGAAAGTACAGCTACCAAGCAGCGGTAACTGGGACACAAGAGCTTATTTGGCCATTAGGATTTATTGGCTCTTGATGATGGGGTTCTTCTGGAAACGTGGCTAAGCAGAGGTGTGTTTGTGCTTACAGTATGTGCGCCTGTGCATGGGTCACAGGCAAATTAACAAATTACCAAACAACTAAAGTACATTACAGGGAAGATCACCTCACACCCACAAGACCTTTTTGAGCGGTGTAGTATTCAGCAGGCCAGTTTGATTTGATATTTATTGAACTCTTGAGTGTGAGCCAGTATATCCTGGGCATGCCTGATGTCCCACTGTGTAAGCGCCATCATTACTAAATCATGATTAAACTTGTTAACAGGCAACCCTTGGGAGGACAGGCAAAGGGTGAGCAGAGCAGTCAGATGTAACTGACATGTATGTTTGTATGATTGTAATTTGCAGGATCAAGGTGTTCAGTTTAGGCCAGTGTTACATGTATGTTTTCTGTTTATTAATTCCTTTAATCCAGGACAATTGTCTCTTATCAGGGACAATAAAAGCAACCCTGAAGCTGGTCTGATAAGAGCCTGATTGCTGAGATCAGCGCTTGGTGGACTGTTTTTATATCGAGTCTTTTCCAAAAGTGGCCATCTTGTATTTCATTTATTCTTAAATTAAACTTGTGTGTTAGGCTTAGTGGGGTTCTTTTGAGCACCTGAGTGATAGTTGTTGCAGCACAATCTGTGTAACACAACACTATTCTTGCATGCTAGAGTATTTTGCATTGCACCTGTGCCTGCAGTTTGCATACGACTCAGGACTGGTAAATTGTGTCTTGTCTTGTGACAAGTGTGTAGGGGCAAGACCAAGGTTTGTGCCAGTGGTTATTTTAATACACTGTCTCAACTTGATGGATTTCTACTTAATGTTGTATACCAAGTCAACCAGCAATATTTAATGGCAATATCAGTGCACAGGTAGTATGTAAAACTGTGCTTCCATAGTTGTACATACTACCTGTGCACTGATATTGCCGGTCATTTGAGCTCTTTTTTTCACTTATCTTAGGATTTATTATCCTGCTGAGTCACTCTTGGAACCCAGCAAAGGCCCAGAATAAGGTTGTTTTTTTTTGAGTGTAACCAACAAATATTTTCAATGTAAATTAATCTTTTGTTTTAATTGATTAGTTGTTTGGTCTGTAAAATTTTGAAAAATATTGATATTCAGTTTGCTTTCTAAGCGGATTAAAGAAACCAGAAAATATTCAGCTTCTTCACTCAAACCACTAATCAAAACTGTTCTGATTTAATTTTATAGTTGACAACTAAAGGCTTGTGCAGACTACACGACTTTCAGTGTCAGCCGATCACCATGCTGTTCACACTACACGACTTGAGTCTTGAAGTCGTTGTGGCGATAACACTACGTGACTAATCGGTGACAGTGGGTCACACACTACGTGAGCTGACAGCGGCTGTGTCACCCGACGCTGGTCTCCAAACCACGTTTTGCCAAGAAAACACACGGGAAATGACGCAAACCTGCACACGAAACAGCTGTTGTTTGTTATTATAAAGATGGCAATTATAAAGACAAAGAATATGGTTGAAAGAATGGATTACCTCAAGCAGGTAGCGGGGATTGTCTGAGCTACAGAGAGAGCTGGAGGTCAGTAAAAAGTGTTTTGCAGTGAAAAATGCTCTGCCAGCTGCCTGCTCTCATGGACGTAGATGTAAAGTCGGCCGACTTCTCCAGATATTTAGCATGCTAGATATCTGGCAGACGCCTGTGATGTGTCGGAGCCGTTTTGATGCGTCGTTGAGTAGTTCACACATAATGAATGACTGGCGACTGCTGATCGATCACCAATTTACCCCTGATCACAGCCTGACGGTCGCAGAGCTCTCCGACCCGCAAATCAGGCTTAAAATCGTGTAGCGTGAACTAGGCTTAATGGATTAATCGTTGCAGTTGTACATGTGAATACAAGGAATTTGGTTGCCATTAGCTTACTATGCACATACAGTATATTTACTGTTATGCCAAAACAATCCATAAAAGCATAAAAATTGGTATAAAATATTAGTTAAAAAGGCAATAAAGCCATAAGGGAAGACGTTTTCAGATTTTATTCAGAACAGTTATCCAGAGAACTCAGGTTCTTGGCAGTGGCCCCAACCTCCTGGTCATTCTCTACCCTTTACGCATATCGTCCACTGTCTCTGATGTGACCGATGGGGGATGCAGAGAGGACCTCAGGTGCAGTTGTGACGTAAAGGGAGCAGGGATGTAGGGACTGTTGACATCCCCAGGTGGTGCCATTGTTTACTCTGATGGTGGTGGATGTAAGATTGTCCAAGCTCTCCTGCTGCTTTCTGTCTGTAAGGAAGTTGAAGATACAATCACGTGTGGGTCAATTACATGTGGATCAATAGCCTTTGTGACCACAGTTTTGGAACTGGTGTGATGGTTGAACATCTTAAATAGAAAGCAACATCACCGTCTCTTGGGACTAGTTGTTTTTAGTCTTGTGCCTTTTTGAAAGTGCTGACATGCATCCTCTTTACAAATCCTAAGTACAGGTTGAGCGGCAGATGAGCTGGTTGGAGTGTTAAGGCTGCAATCCTCCAAACAACCTGTTCTGCAATTGGCTTTCTGTCCTACTAGAGCAACAGCAGAGTGTCATTGAATGGAAGGACGCCAGAAAATATTCAGATGAAATTCAAAACAAAGATGCCACAAAGTCTGGCTGCGTAAAGTACAAGATGAGAAGGGATATGCTTTAAAACCACTACTTATTCCTTTTTTAATAAACTGATTTTGTATGTTTGTTCCATAAACCAAACAAGGATATTGGATGGAAAGGAGATGGAGGTGTGCCAGCCAGTTTGATCAAAATAAGGAACCCTTTTTATTAAAAATCTGGTCCCATCTGTCAGTCAAGTTTATGCCTCCAACTTTTTGTAATGGATTAGTCTGCCGATTAGGTGGCATCTGCCAAAACCCAAATACATTAAATTTAGTATAACTTACGCACCAAATTGGGACATTTGAGAAGCTAGAACCAGTGAATGTTGCTTGACTGATGACTGAAACAATTAATTGATTTTCAAAATAGTTTTAGTCTCATCCAATGCCACATCGCCAACTCCATGTAGTTGATGAAGTTAAATTAAGTAATGTTAACATCAGGACTAAGAGTGTGCAACTCATCTTTCCTTTGTTTCAACGTATAAAGGAACGTCCTTTACATTCAAGCCCTCACCAAACAAGTTCACACAATGCTGATTATGAGTTTCCCCTCCAGGTAAATCTCTGTATTCGCAGTGCGCTAGAGTTTTTAAATCTGGTGTCTGTGGCGACATTTCCCGTGCTGGCGCACCGGTAATGATACGTTTTACGCCACCCAGCAATGACTAGTTTGCCAGAGCGGAAGGGCGTGCATTGTTAAGAGAATTGTTTGTTTATTTTGTTTATTATAATTGTGTATAGTTTGTGTTTATATGCTTTGACAATGTTGTGTTTTCTGAAGTCATGCCAAAAAAGCCACTTGAGTTGAAATCGGAGGGAGGTGGCGCATTTCTGTCTGTATCGACGGAGTTTGGCAGAGCCCTTTGGTCGAAAAACAAACCTAAGAAGTGTACATAACATCTCTACCTAAATGATGGATTATTGTCTCCATACTGTAGAAAGTTGTCTGTATATCTTTTTTTTTTTTTTTTTAACACGAGGCTGAGTATAAAACTGTGCGCCTGCAGTCAAACTCACCTGTATGGAGGACTGATCCTGACAAATTCAGAAATGAATACAGAAATAAATAAATGCTCAATAAATAAATAAGCATCTGATTAAATGCACAAACCGCCGTGCCGCCCAACCTGTTACATGTGTCTATTAAAAGTAAAATAACACAAATGTCAGGGAAATGACTTTACTTAGATTTAAGTACTGCAGTTATACATTGAAATGCCTTCCTACCTTTCTTGAGGTGGTATAAAACATTTCTCCTTAAATTCTGATTTGAGTTGTGGACAACTATGACCCCATGAATTAAAAAATGAAACATTTCACTGCCCAAGTCAGCTATAACCCAAGGCTTGTTCATTAGGCTACATGCTGTACAGTATTTGTCCCAGGATTTATTATGCATTTCTTCTTCATTGCATGATTTAGAATAATAAGTTGAGAAATGGGTCTGTTCTGAGTTCATCCTGCACTGCAGCAGCTAATAAAGCCCATTTAATCCCAAAAATGCTTTTCTTTTAGGCAGGCTGGAGCGGAAAACAACTTACCTTTCTCAAGTTGTACAGTAATGTCACACATGTGTATGAAGGTGGATCAAACACAGCTAACCTTAAATGTCAAAGTAGAGATAAGCCTAGTAGGCCTATTTATTTTCATTCATTACACAAGATGAATAAACCATACGGACAGTTGTAAAAAAAATCTTGAATATTCTCCGCTTGTTATAGTTACACAGTAATATTAGGGATGTGGGCTGTATTAACCGTATCCACTGCTCTCCCATGCTCTAACACACAGTAACGATGA